ATACAGTAGAATGTTCATAATTTTCCATGAAACTGTGATACATGTGTCAGTAATGTGTCCACAATAAATGTTTATTGTCACAATATTACGTGGTAAAAATTCACTAATATTACAATATGTACAGTTTCACATACTATTTACACAGTAACACACTGTATTACACACTCAGTACTTTGGAGGTGCATAATAGTCAACGAAGTAGTCCATGGTACACAGCGCGACTTTGCTCTCCTTGCACCAGCTACAGATAGATTTTTGCTTCCTGTTTCATCGTTATGTGTGCTTGCAAATAACGCACTTGCGTGCACCCTTGGCTTTAGTACTTGTAGGTGGTATGTAGCCAAGCTTGTAAAGCATAAAGTAGTATTGAAACGATTATAGGAAAAGCTCAATTTGTAAGGTAGTCTTGAAAAGATCGCTTTGTAAGGTCCCACACAGGAAGAGATTCAGCTAGCCTCAAAGAGTGTCCATCAGTCAGGAAGAGATTCAGCTAGCCTCAAAGAGTGTCCATCAGTCAGGAAAAGATTCAGGTATTCTTGAAAATATCAATGAACACCACCACCATGGAAGCCGCTAACACTGTTAATCTATGCTACTTGTATCAGATGCATCATCACTGAACGCAGAAAACGATTCATCTATGTATCATCTATATACATTAGAGATGGCAAGGGTGGGGCTCAGAGCTACACCTGGATACGCTTGCTGTATCATCCTCATAGGTGCTGTATCACTGGCATCCGACCGTTGTGTTAAGCCCTTATTGCGCCTAGCTTCACCAATGTTATGACCCTTATGTTCTTCAAACAAAAGGGTCTGAATTGCACCGACTGAGCACAGTCTTTCAACACCGTGTGGGACAGGTGTTTGAGAGCCAGAGGCACGTGTGCGACAAATGGTTGCTCACAAATGGTTGCTCACGCAGTACTAACCCAGCCAGCAGCCCTTGTCTTTCATATTCGTTATGGCAAAAGGTTCGTTCAGTTTTTGTTGGGTAAGCTGCTCCATTATGACAATCTTTTTTTGTTTCAAATGTGTTCCATTTGTTTTGTATTTGTCACTTACGTCTCAATAATGGAGCAGCCTACCCGACAAACACTGAACGAACCTTTATGACATTTGTCCATTTTTCAAATTGTTTCAACAGTTCTTTTATTTTTCGTTTTTTTTTTTTTTTTTTAAGAAACATGGAGCAGCCGACCTGTAGACCACCGAACGAACCTTTTTGACATTTGTACTGGTTTTCAAAATTCTTCATTATTTTTATTATTTACGTTTTTTGTATGTAAGAAACATGGAGCAGCCTACCTGCCGACCACCGAACGAACCTTTTGCTATAAGGCAAATGAAAAATAAATATTGAACACATTTGAAGAAAGGAAAATGTCATAATGGTTTATTCAGTGTATGTAAGGTAGGCTTCTCCATTATTGAGACGCAAATGACAAATAAAAAACAAATGGAACACATTTGAAACAAAGAAAGATTGTTATAATGGAGCAGCCTACCTGCCGAACACCGAATGAACCTTTTTGACATTTGTTGTATATCAGACATTTCATTTCTTTTTTCCTACAAAAACGTCAATGCTTTGCAACATCTCAGTAGTCACCCTTTTATATCCCAGCATCATTAGCATCTTTAAACAAGAACAACATAATTTATGTGCATCGTCGGAGGCGTCTAAGAATGTGCAAGAAGCAGCGCGACCCCACCATGTGGTGTTGACGTTACTCAAACCAGCGTTCGTCATAAGGGACGATTTGACGCCGATCGGGCCGTTCGTTACCCAAAATATTCGTCTTTTGGGGCAATCGTTATGCGAGGTACCACTGTATATTTATATAATAAAAGTGGTGAATAATTGCTATACTCAAAAGTATGGTGTCCATATTAGTGATTCAATTATTATGTTCAGAAAACAATAAACAAATAGTTTTGCTGCTATTACACTCTATACACAGGTTATATATAAGTATCTGCATGTTTTGTTCGCCATAACGAACCACTAAGTTGGTATTGAGTCGAAAAGCAACGAGGAGTTACCACGACATACCAGCCAGCCACTCTCTGCCACTCCCTCAACACACGCACTAAACTTTCTCCCCCAACAATACCATTTGTGGTGTTATTACACTATATACAGATGTTATATATAAGTATGTATATATTTTGTTCACCACAACTGTACAGCTAAGCTGATATAGTTAGTTCAGGCACTAAGAGTCGTCGCTATACACAGCTGGCGGCTCCCTCACTCATTCAAGGCCACACACACTAAACTAAACCTAAGCTTGTAGTGCGCCCAAAAGAGCATAGTGGCTACCCTCTAAACAGCTAGACAAATCGAGCAGACGACGTCACATCCATCATCCAAATGACTCCTCCCAGCATAATCCTTTTGCTGTTATTATACTAATACAAACATTATATATAAGTACAGGGGTACCTCAGTTTAAGAGTTTAATCCGTTCCTGGAGACGGCTCGTATTCCGAAGCAAATTTCCCCATAAGAAATAATGGGAAATGAATTAATCTGTTCCTGACTACCCCAAAAACCCCACATCAAACTAAATTTTTATACCTAATTCATCTAAATAAACCTACAAAACTATGTTCAAGCTATTACTTACCTTGCTGTTGAATGCTGTAGGCGTATGGAAGATGGTGAGGAGGGGGGAGGAGAAGAGGAGTTACTGTTTGGAAGGGGAGGGGCTGGTCCCAAACCTGCACACAGAAATAACACCACATGAGACCAGAAGACATGGCAGGATGTGCAGAATACCCCCGTTGAAAAGCAGAGGTGCAACAGGTACTCTGAGAGAGAACTCTATCAACATAGACTGTTCAACACGCTTCCACTACACATAAGGGGCATAACTGGCAAACCCCTCACAGTGTTCAAGAGAGAACTGGATAAGCACCTCCAAAGGATACCTGATCAACCAGGCTGTGACTCATACGTCAGGCTGCGAGCAGCCGCGTCTAACAGCCTGGTTGATCAGTCCAGCAACCAGGAGGCCTGGTCGACGACCGGGCCGCGGGGACACTTGTAGCCTCAAGGTAGGGGAGTCCCCTTCCATTATCACATCAGGCAGTGAGGACTTCACTGGTGAGCACACACTGGCACATTTTCCCTGCATACCACTAGGACTTGTTTGTTTACTAAGAATCTGTCTAAAGACACTTGTTTTTCCCTACATTTTAACACTTGTCTCTAGTAAGACATCACATTGTCATTTAAAAGGTCAATGCAACGGCCTGCTACAGCTTTATCTGGGTGAGTTTTTTCAACCGAACTTTGCAGTTCTTCCCATACTTCACACATTTTCTTAATCAAGAAGGGACATCCTCTACTGCCTCTACTCACAGCTATTTTCTTAGGTTGAACCTTATCAATGGCTTTCTTGATACCCATGGCGAGATATATAACAACAACTTTTATGCTCAAATGGCAAAAAAAACGACATAAAACTGTAAATCCTTGTGAAGCATTCAGGAAGGATAGTCACTGGGCGGGAGACAATGGTAAACTGAGGGGCGGAGGGGCGACGATCGCCGTACCACCACGCGCTAAGTCGGCCTGAACGCGTATCAACAAACTCGCATTCCGAGGTAACCCTTGCCATCCGAGACACATTTTCCGAGGAAATCCGACTCGTATTCCGAAAAACTCGCATACAGGGACACTCGTGTTCCGAGGTACCACTGTATCTACATTTGTGTTCACCATAGAGAACCACTGAGCTGGTATGGTGAATGCAAACAATAACAGGTGGCCACACAGTCAGTAAATGATGCTATCTCCCTCCGTCGCTCAGCATCACTCCTCCCACAGTGCTAATTATTACAACAATCCAGCTATTATCACAACCCTAGTTATTTATATCACAGTCAAGGGTCATCTGTAATATTGTCATTGCTAAATAATAACAATTATATATTTATTTTTACATTTTTCGGCAATGCTGTGGTCACAAGCTGAACAGCAATGCTGTTCGCTCATGCTGCGTGCGCCAGCCTTGGTTGCTCCAACAGTACTGTGCCTCTCACACCTGAGAATATTGCCCACGATTTTTTTTTAAAATGGCGTCTGTTTATAAGAGCCCTGAGGAAGTTAATGTGAACCCCGTGTAGCCGCGGACCATTTGAATCGGGCCTGGCACCCTGTGGCGTATATATATACCATGCGCACCGTGGGACATGTTACTCAGGACGTATATATACGCCATGCGCAGTTTAAGGGTTAAGGGTTAAATTCTCTATCAGTTTATTTGTTTTTGAACAAATATCCGGTCATCCGGATTCTATGGACATTCCATCCGGATATGGATATAACATTATCCAGAGGCAATTTTGGCTGGATGACATCATTATCCGGTTCAGCAGACTCCGGATTAGTGAGCTTCTACAGTAGTAAGGATGGATTTCGATCCTCCTGTCCATACATAAGACTCTAAAGCTTGTGTCCTTACATGAATCACACCCATTCCCTTACATTCGAGCAAACATGAGAATGGAACAAATAGGCATGATATAAGCATAGGCTCCTGCAGGACAGAATCCAAATTATGACCAACATTGACCTGGTAAAAAACATGACCTCTAGGGGAGGAGGGGGAGATTTGGTGATAAATATGAGCACTTGTGGAATGGTCCACACCAGATGTATGACATGTTGACATCATCTGGCAGTGGAGATAAAAAGCAGAGATATTATATCATGTTCCTTGTTATCTGGGTTAGTAATATTTCCTCGCAATGGTTTTGTTTGGTTTTGCCCTAGCTTTCTGACAGTCTGTTCTCTTTGCTTGGGTATTCAAGAATCCCCTGCTCCCCGCAGTTCTGAGTGGACCAGGTTACGGTCTCTTGTTTGTGGTAGATAATATTCTGACAAGTAAGGGCCTGATGTGGCATGATATGAGAACAACTTACGGTCATGCACCACAGAGCCACTGAGGAAGCCATCCCAGAAAATACTTTAAATCTGGTACATTTACCTGAAAGGTTGGCAGCTGTTGTATCTCCTTTGCTATAGAGGTCTATGTCCTTCAGTGTCTGCTCTACTTCTGCTTTGATATTTCCAGATTCAATTCCCTGTAATTAAAAAAAAAACATAGAATATAATGAAATGCTAATTTCTGGGTGAGCCCGAGAGGCTCTCTGAAGCTACTATGTACTAATATGTCACCATCAACTATGTCGCATCAGCCGCAGTGTTCTATAGGATTACCAGAGATCAGTGCCAGACACTTGCTCTCTCACAAAGGCACAGAGAAAGGAGATGTTTATATTTTAAACCAGTAGGGAAGGCAATCAGAAGATGAGCGAGTCAATACAAAACACTGCCTGCTTCAATAGAGGCCACAGCCTTGAAACCCACCAAAAGAGACCCCAACTATGTAAACAAATGATTGAATTGTCTCAGAACTAGCTCAAGCTAGTTCTACCTCCCCTCATCCTACATCCCATCCGACCTCCCCCTCTCGTTTGGTGGGAGAGGGGAAGTAGCCCACCACAAGTCTGCATTTCCACCCTCAGTTCTAGGACAGATGTAGACAACCCCCTACTTATAACTTGGAAGGGAGAGAGGGGGATCACTGTGTTATCAGAACTCATAAAAACCCCAGCATTGAATGTAATGAAAACCATTTTCTGGGTGAGACCCGGAGCTATCCAGGCTAATAAGGATATATTAGACCTTGACATCAGTCATGTGAATGGAGTTCTTAAGCCTACCGGGGACCACAAGCCAGAACCTGGCACACTCAGGGAGGCACGAGGAGCAATGGCCTATAGAAACCCCTGTGTGGTTGGGAGCATTCCATATCTGCCATCGACCAGATCAGACACCCAGAAAGGTAAGCACCCCAAAACAAACCCCTGTTCTGGTTAAAATATTGCTACTGAAAACTGAACTAGTAGACACAATAGCTGACAAAATATTTGCTTGGGAGCATAACCAAACAAATATTGTGTCAGCCAGATAAATGATAGGACAGATTACGAGAACTTTCAAATCCAGGGACCCCCATCACAATGGTTGTACTATACAAATCACTTGTACTGTCCCGTCTTGAGTACTGCTCAGTACTCACTTCCCCCTTCAGAGCAGGTGAGATTGCAGAAATAAAGGGAGTACAGAGAACATATATAGCATACATAAATGCAATAAAGCACCTAAATTATTGGGATCGTCTCAAAGCCCTCCAAATGTACTCATTAGAAAGAAGACAAGAGAGATATCAAATAATATACACATAGAAGATACTTAAGGGCCAGGTACCAAATCTACACAGTAAAATAACATACTGGAGTGAATGATATGGAAGAAAATGCAGAATAGAACCAGCGAAGCACAGGGGTGTCATAGGCACAATCAGAGAACACTGTATAAACATCAGAGGATATTATCAGAGAAACATCCTCTGATAATATTCAGAGGTTGAAAATGGGAAATAGATTCACGGAAAATGAAAATGAAATGTGTGAAACATTAAACGAAAAGTTCCAAAGTGTGTTTGTACAAAATTAAATCTTCAGGGAACCAGATACAATAAGAATTCCTGAGAACAACATAGAGCACATAGAGGTGTCAAGAGATGAAGTGGAAAAAATGCTCAAGGAGCTAAATAAGAACAAAGCAGTTGGTCCAGATGGAGTTTCACCATGGGTTCTGAGAGAATGTGCACCTGAGCTCAGCATTCCTCTTCAACTGATTTTTCAGGCATCCCTGTTTACAGAAGTTGTAGCTGATGTGTGGAAAAAGGCTAACATAGTTCCAATCTACAAAAGTGGAAGCAGGGAAGACCCCCTTAATTATAGACCGGTATCATTGACAAGTGTAATAGTCAAAATATTGGAAAAAATAATTTAAACTAAATGGGTAGAACACCTGGAGAGAAATGATATAATATCAGACAGACAGTATGGTTTTCGATCTGGAAGATCCTGTGTATCGAATTTACTCAGTTTCTATGATCGAGCAACAGAGATATTACAGGAAAGAGATGGTTGGGTTGACTGCATCTATCTGGACCTATAAAAGGCTTTCGACAGAGTTCCACATAAGAGGTTGTTCTGGAAACTGGAAAATATTGGAGGGGTGACAGGTAAGCTTCTAACATGGATGAAAAATTTTCTGACTGATAGAAAAATGAGGGCAGTGATCAGAGACAATGTGTCGGACTGGAGAGATGTCACAAGTGGAGTACCACAGGGATCAGTTCTTGCACCAGTGATGTTTATTGTCTACATAAATGATCTACCAGTTGGTATACAGAATTATATGAACATGTTTGCTGATGATGCTAAGATAATAGGAAGGATAAGAAACTTAGATGATTGTCATGCCCTTCAAGATGACCTGGACAAAATAAGTATCTGGAGCACCACTTGGCAAATGGAATTTAATGTTAATAAATGCCATGTTATGGAATGTGGAATAGGAGAACATAGACCCCACACAACCTATATATTATGTGAGAAATCTTTAAAGAATTCTGATAAAGAAAGAGATCTAGGGGTGGTTCTAGATAGAAAACTATCACCTGAGGACCACATAAAGAATATTATGCGAGGAGCCTATGCCATGCTTTCTAACTTCAGAATTACTTTTAAATACATGGATGGCGATATACTAAAGAAATTGTTCACGACTTTTGTTAGGCCAAAGCTAAAATATGCAGCGGTTGTGTGGTGCCCATATCTTAAGAAGCACATCAACAAACTGGAAAAGGTGCAAAGACATGCTACTAAGTGGCTCCCAGAACTGAAGGGCAAGAGCTACGAGGAGAGGTTAGAGGCATTAAATATGCCAAAACTAGAAGACAGAAGAAAAAGAGGTGATATGATCACTACATACAAAATAGCAACAGGAATTGATAAAATCGATAGGGAAGATTTCCTGAGACCTGGAACTTTAAGAACAAGAGGTCATAGATATAAACTAGCTAAACACAGATGCCAAAGAAATATAAGAAAATTCACTTTCGCAAACAGAGTGGTAGACGGTTGGAACAAGTTAGGTGAGAAGGTGATGGAGGCCAAGACCGTCAGTAGTTTCAAAGCGTTATATGACAAAGAGTGCTGGGAAGATGGGACACCACGAGCGTAGTTCTCATCCTGTAACTACACTTAGGTAATTACACTTAGGCAATTACACTTAGGTAATTAGAGGTCCACAGAGGCTGCTGGAGCCGCTGCAGCTTGCATTTGAGATTGATGTTACTTCTGCACAGTTTTGCAAGCTGTCTCATGCATTGATTTGTTTGATGTTACTTCCGCACTGTACTGTGTGCCTGACATAAGAATGGACCCCACAGCTCCTGGCTGTTCTGGTGAGCACTGGTCACAAAGCCCCAGCACCATGCTTTTCGTTGTTAACCAGAATAGGGGTCTGTTTTTGTGGTGCTTACCTTTCTGGGTGCACGCTCGAAATCCATGTTGGCCTGGGTTGTGAAGGTCATTGGTCTCCATGAAATTGGTGAACTGACTCCTAATCACTCTCTCAAATACTTTTATGATGTGCGATGTTAGTGCAACTGGTCTATAATTCTTTGCCAATGCTTTGCTCCCTCCCTTGTGTAGAGGGGCTATGTCTGCTACTTTAAGAGCATCTGGTATCTCCCCCGTGTCCAAGCTCTTCCTCCACACTATACTGAGTGCCTGTGCTACCGGCACTTTGCATTTCTTTATAAATATTTAATTCCATGAGTCTGGACTTGGGGCCGAGTGCATGGGCATGTTTTCAATTTCTCTTTCAAAATTTAGTGCGCTCGTGTTTATATCAGTTATATTTACAGGGGTTTGAATATCCCGCATAAAGAAATTGTCTGGATCTTCCACCTTCATGTTGTTTATTGGAGTGCTTAACATGTCCTCATACTGCTTTTTTAGGATTTCACTAATTTCTTTGTCATCCTCCGTGTATGAACCTTCACTTGTACGAATAGGTCCAATACTAGCAGTGGTTTTTGCTTTTGATTTCGCATATGAGAAGAAATATTTTGGATTTTTCTTTATTTCCTGAATTGCTTTCTGTTCTAACTGCCTTTCTTCAGTTTCATATGAGTGTTTCAATTTCCGCTCGATTTCTTCAATCTCCCTATTTAAATTATTCCTTCTTTGACAGGAAATTCGTGTCTGCATAAGCAGTTCCGTTATTTTTTTCCTGCGTTTATAGTGTCGTCTGCGTTCTCTTTCTACGTTAGATCTCTTTCTGGCTTTCCTCAAAGGAACATGTTTCAGACAGACTTGATACGCTTCCGAAGTCAGTTTTTCTATTCCTTCTGTAGGACTTGTATTACTTAGAACAGTTCCCCATGGAATGTTTGTAAGTTCCCTGTTTATTATCTCCCAGTCTATCCTTTTATTATTAAAATTGAATTTACTGAATAGCCCCTCTCGCTTTATCAACATTTTAGGTCTATTCTGAGTATTGATGGTCGTTTGCACTTCAATGAGCTTGTGATCTGAGTATGTGGTATCTGATATCGTAATGTCTCTGATAATGTCTTCATTGTTCGTAAAGACCAGATCTAGAATATTTTCATTTCTCGTTGGCTCCGATATCTGCTGATTGAGTGAAAATTTGTCACAGAATCTAAGTAGTTCTCTAATCTGTGGTTGGTTAGGTCCTGATAGATTTCCTGGTATAATATTATTGTTTGCTATTTTTCACCTGAGACTAGGCAAGTTGAAGTCACCTAGGAAGATAATATCAGGTATCGGGTTCTCCAAATTATCAAGGCTATTCTCTATTTTGCTTATCTGTTCTGTGAATTCCTCAGCCATTGCATCTGGCAGTTTGTATATTAGAATAATCACTCAATTTATTTTCTCTATTTTTAATCCCAGTACCTCTACCACCTCATTTGTAACGTTTAGGAGCTCCGAGCATACAGGGTCTTCCCTAATATACAGACCCACTCCTCCATGTGACCTAATTTTCCTATCACACCTGTATAGGTTATATCCTGGAATCCAGATCTCACTGTCCAACAATTCCCCTGCATGGGTTTCTGTGAAAGCTCCAAATACTGCATTTGACTCCATGAGGAGGCCATTTATGAACTGTACTTCGTTGTTTGTTCTTG